CCGTGTTCGATGTATGCGTCACCCGCATCTCCTCAGAAGCCGCACGCCAACTAGATGAGCTTGCTCTAGCAGGTGGTGCGCCAGGTTCCGAATATGCGAACGCTGCGACTGCCGCTCCCACCTCCACGGGGAACGTGAATTCCATCACGGGGTTACGCAAACACCGTCACAATCCTGAGGGGGTGTTCTGCACTACTGTGGGCTGCAACAAAGGCGACCACGATCACGCACACTGCTATGCGAAAGGCGGCGGGATGGAGGGCCAAGCTCCATGGATGAAAAACAAGGATAAACGGCGGGAGACGGCCGCAGCTGCAGTTGCCCCTCCCCCAGTTGCAACACCAGCAATCCCAGCAACCTCTTCATCCTCTACCATTGCCGCGTTTGCGGGAACTGAGGCTGCTGCACAGACTTTCCTAGCCGATCTTTCTTGCGCCTCCATTACCGAACTGGCAGATCCTGGCGGGACACTCACTGCTGCGGAGACGGCGGCCATTTCCTGTGTCGTTGCAGCTGGCTTCAACACCATCCTTGACTCAGGCACTACCACGACCCTCATCCAAGATCGTTCCTATTTTTGGACGTATTCTACCGCCGATGCTGTCACTGTACGTACTGCTAATCATGGCAGCCTGACGACATCCGGTCGAGGCGATTGTGTGGCAATCCTTACGATTGGGGGACGTAAACATCGTGTTCGGCTCTCCAATTGCCTACACGCCCCCTCCGCCATGTTGAATCTCCTTTCAGTGGGCTGGATGCTTGGGAAGGGGTGGGATTGTATGTTCCGGGCTTCGCCTCCTCGTTGCGAACTCGCCTACAGAGGAACAGAATTGGGAGCGATTCCCATGGCCAACAACTTGTGCTATATCAACCTGGAGTTTCTTCCCGCACCTTCTCCTCAGCCAGCTAGTAGCATCCCACCGTCTCCTCCCGAGTTATCTGCATTCACTCACGTCGCTCCCACCCTGGATTTGTGGCACGCCCGTCTTGGCCACGTCGGCGGCGCTGCTGTTCGTCGCTTACCTCTCTTTTCCGTGGGTGCCACCGTCATTCCAGGCTCTGCGTTATCCAAGTGCGAATCTTGCATCATGGGGAAACACCCACGTCGCCCTCATCCACCCTCGGACACTCCTCGCGCAGCACGATTTCTCGACCTCATTCACTCTGACATTTGCGGACCGATTCCCGTACTCACTCCTCACAACAAGCGATACTTCATTGTGTTCCTTGATGATCACACAGGCGTCTTGAACCTGCAACTCCTCACCTCTAAAGATCAGTCGCTTGAGGCTTGGCGTCTCGTTCGCGCTCGTTGGGAGAATCAGTCCGGCTTGCGAGTGAAGGTGTTCCGTTCAGATAACGGTGGTGAGTTTCTCAATGGTGCTTTCACCTCTGAGCTCGAGAACGCGGGCATTGTGCGTCAACTGTCGGCGCCGTATGCTCATCAGCAGAACGGCAAGGCAGAACGTGTGCTTCGTACCATTGAGGGCCGCATGTATGCCATGCTCGATCATGCCCGTCTTCCTCGCACACTCTGGGGTGAGGCGGCACTTTGTGCTGCCTACCTCTTCAACCGCACCGAATCCCGTTCTCTGCCACCTGGTGTTACACCCTATGAAATGCTGCACGGCACGAAACCCGACGTCTCGCACCTTCGGGTCTTCGGTGCGCGGTGTTTCGCACGCATCCCACCGGAGGTTCAGGAGAAACTGGGGCCCCGTTCACGAACGGCGGTCTTCATGGGCTACCCACCAGGAGTGAAAGCTTGGCGCTGTCGCGACACCATCACGGGGGCATTCTTCAACTCCCGCAACGTCATCTTCGACGAATCATTCTCCAATCAGCCCTTCCCCGTTGCTGACAGTGACGATGATGATGACGACGATGCACCACGTCCTGTCGTCGATCTTCCCGTCCCATCCATCATCCAGCCATCTGCTCCTGTCCCTGCACCACCTGTCATTCCTCCTGCTGTCGTGCCTCGTCGTTCTGGGCGTCCTCGCGTTCCCACAGAACGTGGACGTCTCTTCCGCGAACAAATTGCCACTGACACTGCCCATCTTCAGAGGCAGCGTGAACTCAGACAGGCACGCGTTCTGGGCGTTCCACCCATCGACAACACGAGTACCTCCATTCCCACCGTTCCCGTCGCAGCTCTTCCCTCCCTCCTTCCCACTCCATCTCACCCTCTCCAGGTCGACGTCCCCACTGATCCTGACGCGATCGTCCCTGACGTGGAGACCGTCGGCTTTCCCACCATTCTCGCCAATCTCATTGTGGTCGAGCAGGCCTGTCTCTCCGTGCGCAGTGACACTCGCCGCAATCCCCAGGCTCCGGGTTATAACATGAAGATTCCACCGAACACTTACGATGAAGCTATGCGTCGCTCGGATCGGGACTCGTGGCTTGCTGCCATGAAGCGGGAGATGAACCTTATGTCGGAAATGGGGGTGTATGAGCTCGTCCCGCTGCCGGCCGATCGCAAGGCCATTGGCTGCAGGTGGGTTCTCGAGTTTAAGGAGGATCAGAAGGGGGGTTCGGTCTACAAGGCGAGGTTAGTGGCACAGGGCTTTTCGCAGGTTCCGGGGATCGACTTCGGCAAAACCTTTGCGCCTGTCGCGAAGGCCGCATCCATCCGCATCATCTCTGCCCTCGCGGCCCTCAACAACTGGGAGCTTGACGCCTTCGACGCAAAACGCGCTTTCCTCTGGGGGAAACTCACTGAAGACGTTTATATGCGCCAGCCGCCCGGTTTCGAGCAGTTTGGGGATGGCATGCGTCTGGTCTGTCACCTCTTATCCTCCCTTTACGGACTGAAGCAGGCTGCCTACGACTGGTACGAGCTCCTACGGGAGGTTCTCACCGCTCTGGGTTTCCTTCGCGTCGCTGCTGACTACGCCGTTTTCGTGTATGACCACACCAACGCGGAGGGGGAGAGGATCGTGTGCATTATAGCTTGGCACGTAGATGATGGTTTGGCGGCCGCTAGCAACCGCCCGTTTCTCATCTGGATCAAGAGTCAGATCGCGCAACGCTTTGGCATCACTGACCTCGGTCCCGTCGCGAAACACTTGGGAATTCAGTTCGAGAGGAATCGCACCACCTGCGAGCTATGGATGCACCAGACAGACTACATCACCTACCTCCTGGAAGAGCACGGTATGCTCGGATGCAATCCCGTCTCTCTACCCATGGATCCTCACTTCCCGTTTGGTCGCGATACCGACATGCATCCTCACGTCGAAGACCTCCCTTCCGAGTATCGTAAGCTCGTTGGAGAACTCCTCTATCTCGCCATGTATACTCGTCCTGACATTGCAGTCGCTGTAATGAAGCTTGCCCAACACAACTCATCCCCTGCACCACGCCACTACGCATCTGCAAAACACGTGCTTCGTTTTCTTGCGGGTACCATCGGCCTTCGCACGCACTATGGGGGTGCTACGGCAACTCCAGAACTGCACGGCTTCAGCGACTCGGACTGGGCTAGCTGCCCCGAGGATCGCATCTCGATCTCGGGATACGTTTGGTTCTTCAACGGCGGGCCCGTTTCTCACTCATCCAAGAAACAGGTGACACATGCGCTATCCTCCACCGAAGCCGAGTACATGGCCCTCACTGCGGCGATCCAAGACAGTCTCTGGCTCACATCATTCTTCGAGTGTCTCAAACTTCCTCTCACCCTACCTCTTCGTCTATTCGCCGACAATGCTGGAGCCATCGCGTTGTCCGAGGAAGCAGCCAATCATATCCGCACAAAGCACATCGACCTTCGCTATCATTTCATTCGCGCGCATATCGAAGAAGGAACATTTAAACCTGAGTGGCTGTCTACACACAAGAATGTCGCTGACATTTTTACGAAATGTCTTCCCCGCCCGCTATTTCTTCGTCATCAATCCGGTCTCTCTCTTTTGTCGCGTTAAGTTCAACAATGTCTTGTTGTGGGGGTGTGTAGAATCATCATCGTCGTCATCGCTTCGTTATCATTTCCTTATTCTGTTTCATCACGTGCCATTTCGTATATCACTCGCATCGTCTCATTTCATTATACCTCAGTCGTTGTTCACAACCACTGAGGTATGTTTCGTAGCTTCTCGTTATCACGCCGCACTCTTACGATAGTTCTCTAGCGTGCCTCTGTGTTAGGTACTATATTAATTCAGTCGTTGTTCACAACCACTGAGCGTGCCTCTGTGTTAGTTCCAACAATTTTCAAGTCAGCTACAGCAACATTATATTCTACAGCATCAAGGTCAGAACTGTTGCTTACGTACTGATGACTTCAGCGATCTGATTTTGCCTGATCGACGTCACAGCCCGCACAGTGATTCAACTTCTGGATCAAGCCCTTGTAACGATCACGATGTCTTGCGCGGTTTCATAGCCGCTCGAATCTCATCATGTGCAAATCAACCTTATGAGCATTATTTGTCCCGCTGGACAAAAATTCCGAGATAGCTGCGTTTCCGACCTTTCATGCGCATCGACACCAGAAACGAGCAGTTATCCTATCCGAACTTCTGGGCCCTCCACTCCTCACGCACGATAGAGGGACTTGCTCCACTCATTTCCGGTACTCCATGCTTCTTGTCTCAGCGTCGCCCTATACGAAGGCGAGTGCAAATACACTTCATACAGCACTCGATGGCTGAACTTGGATGTAGGAAGCCGATTTCCTTCAGTGCCTAATGCAACTGGGGAGATTCGACGAGGGTGAGACCGTGGTGGCAGGTGATTCTTCTCTCTCAGTATGTGCAAACACTCCGCTGTGGGGCATGATAACTACAGCGTAGTTGGTGTCCTCCTCCGAACCGTACTTGAAGAGGTGTCCATTACATCGCTCGAGTCTATCACAGAGCAGCAGTGGTGGGACATAAAAAGACGTGCATGGATGACTATCTATTCCTACAGGGTGGTAAAGGGCAAGGACGCGGATGGGTTGCTTCCCGTCCTCGTGGAACCCACAAGGAAGTATATGCAGATCGCTTCCAAATATGATCTTAAGCAGCTCTGTAAAAATGGTACATACGCAGCAGCATCCTCCTGGTCATACCACTCAGCCGCTCGCTGGAAGCTTTCACATGCCTTCGCGATGTCAGTCAATTCGTGTTGATAGATCTGGCCAATCTCCTTCTCTCTGTCTGCTGCCTGGCGGAACCTGCCCGCCTCGGTGAGATGCATCAAGGATGCGGGAAACATACATTGAGGGTCATCTCTCCCGTATGCCTTGGCAGCATTCCACCAAGCGTTTGCTGCATCGTTGGTTTCGTTGCACTTTTCTCTGAACTCCGCTTCTCTTGCAAATGAGTCGCCAGCCGCATTAAATTGCTTCTCGAGCCGGAAAGAGTTGGCGACTTGTTGGTTTAGGTCCTGCCTCCTCCCACTTGGTCGATGAAAAAGAAAACCATCCAGTCGATGAATTTGACTTCTTATCCGCTTTCTCGAGAAAAATTTCTGCTGGTGATTTGGGCATGGTGGTTGTGGAGAGTCAGGACACTCTGAGTCTGATTCATCGGAAGGCGCATTTGGGGTTGGGCAACGCCCGCAAGTGTGATGATGAAACCGATTTGCATGATCTTTACCGCCCAGTACTATCTTACAGCGGGGATTGCGGAAAACCGTCTCTACCACCCAAACGGCTACTTAGGCCATCGTAAATTAGAGATACAATCGCGCTGCTGGGTATTGTTCGAGAAACAGTAATACCGCACCCAATGTAGGGCCCCTTCACACCCTGTACATGACTTTCGCGGTGTCAAGGAAGGTTGGCTTGGGGGAATTACTGCTACGAGGACGCGAGTCTTCCTCGGTCTGCATCGTACTTTTGATGTTGTCGGCGGGAGCATTAGAAAGTTGAAAATTCCGCCTTCGCAATGCGCACGCGCCAGACAACGCAGATTCCCACGTCTTTCCCAAATCCAACACAAGTGCGTTTTATTTCGAACCCTTGCCGTCCTCAACCTATATAGCCAATACATTTCTCAAGCTGCGGTGTACTACAGTCCACTAGTATGTGCCAATCATTTTTGACGTCAATTATGACCTGTATTTGCAGCCAAGAGAACCGACACTTAGAGTATATCATCGACTTACAATTCGAGGTCAAAGTAGAAATTTTATTTTGACAATGATGTTGATAATATAGTGTAGGTCCTGCCTGGTGCTGTATATACCAATTGCACGCGGAGGTCCCGGGATCGAATACATTGGCAGCACCTTTATCAACTATCACCGCATGGGCGTCATGGCCAGGCAGTGGAATAATATATCACACGTCGAACGATGAATTATAAAAGTTCTCAATTCAAAAATGGCTCACTTCTCCGAGTCGATCAATGCAGTACGCAGCGTATTTCTGTTTCCAACCATAGGATGCTCAGCGGCTGGAGACGTGTAGCATAAAACCAGTACTGATACTTTGTTCGCAGTAGCCTCTATGTATTGTCTGCATTGGCAGATCATTTACTGGACCGTCATATGGGGTCAACGCGAGTGGTAGCTCAAGTTCGTCGTCATTGTCCCGCTTCCACAGGCGCTTCCATGGTTTTTACCACCATGGTCAATCCACGGGCCCTCACAGATATGGCGATTAATGCTACCCACGGCATTGTTTAGTCCAACACTGTGGCCTCGCTGTGGATGACGGTGTTTGAAAACAACGTCCACACGGTGCGTCCACATCACTAAATTATATAAAGGGTGCGGTTCTACAAGGTAGCTACCACGTTCGCCCCACAGAGCGCTCCTTCACAGAAAACGAAAACAATAACTCTTCCCCATATCCTCATCATGCCTTACTTCATACGAGTTGCTCCTAACGCTCTCCTAAGACTCGCTTCGCCCTCTCCAGATTGTTTTGGCTCTGTTACGTGTCCGATACCTTACAAACCAAAACGTCAGGACACGTCCTCGCTCAAAATCATTCTTCCCGCGCGCAGTAAACGCCTCGTCAAGCGTCGGCGGCGTTCCAAGCGCTCCGACTCAGAACTACCCTCAGTAGAAGAGTCACGAAGCCAGACAGACAAAAGTCAGGATAAATCAGACAAGCCGCGTCTGACCATCAAAATTAGGCCCTTGCAACACCCGATTCCCGTTGCAGCGGATCATAACTCGGACGATGATAATGCACAGGAGAACGAGGAGGATAGCAGTTACGAGGAGGATAGCAGTTACGAGGAGGATAGCAGTTACGAGGAGAGTAGCGACGATGAATCGGCGTCGGAATACTTACCTCCACGTAAGCGCCAGCGTCGATGTCTTTAGCTGGGTGCTATAGATGTCCCTTCAGTGGTGTCATAATTTAGCTACTGAAGAGCGTTGATGAGAAAGATGAAGGTGTACAAGCGCAGCCGCTACTAGTACTGTGAAATATTTACGACGTTAATGAATTGGATTCGGACAAAGCATGGTCACAAATTGATTTTCTGTGACGTGCTCGATCTTGTTAACTACCCGTGTCTGAAGTAATAACAATGGTGAAGCCCCCAACCGATCTTTTTTCGAATCAAAGTGCTATCAGAATCATGACGTGCAACTAGGACCGTAGAAGTGGAGGCAGATTTATCACACTTGTATTGTTCATCTGCAGCAATTCCATCTTGTTGACACCTCCCCCGACTCCAGGCTCGCTAGCACTTTGCAAGGTGCAAACGTACATGAACGATACATAATCAGTTGCATTGTCGTGATGGCTATATCTACTACTATATTATGTTGAGGGATGATTTGCAGAATGATCGGAGAAATATAGTACTATACGGTAAAGATCGTTTGTACACATGTGCAGTCACATTGAACATGTCAAAAGAAGTACGCGGCTCAAATCGTGTTTTTAGCGTAGGAGAGCGGCGAGGATTAGAGTGGATTGACGATGTGAAGGAGTTAGGGACTGAAGCCCGCGACATGCTTCAAAAGTTCAGTCAATAATCATCCACCGTGAAACATTTTATTAATCTCCTCATTATCACGGTGTTTGCATATCGGGCCCGGATTTTGCGGAAGGGAGACGAATGTATGCGTGCAGACGTACGTACGAACAAGCATGTCAGATACAATCAGACACCAGAGTCAAGTTACATGTGTCTTGAACAACACAGTGCGTGGTTTACCCGAAAAAAAAGTTACTGTATGGATCGTACGTCTTGCCCCCTGTCTGTAAGCCCATCATCACCCCCTTGTCACTGTGGATAGTAAATACACGGAAATTCCGTGATTTGATCACTGAAATTTCCTTAGACCTTCTATTGAAATCCAGTGCTCACTGTCTGGGTACCCCAAACGTGTTTGCTAGAATTGACCTTGTCAGTGGCTAGCAGGCAACATCGTTCCACCAAAAAAAAAAAAGCGGTGTCACACAGGTATTCCAAGGGAAATCAAGCGCTTCCTGTCCCAGCCGCAAGTACACAGGTGATCGTTATGATGAGACACCGTCTAAGATGACGAGAACGGACAACATCTGCTTTTTTTTCCTTGGTAAGGAAAATATCGGAGTACAACATATACCATCAGGGCATCACCAGAAACGCACCCCCAAATCAGAAATGCAAACAGCACACTGAATATCAAAGCAAGGCTCTTGATAAAAATTTTCATTCTAAACATGAGCGACGCCTGGTGGACGTAAAGAATAAAATTCAAGGAATTGGAGGCAAACTTACCACGCGTTCAGCAGGGTATCGCCAGTCATCATCAACTTGTCTAGCAAAGGGTATCGTGACCACTAACGAGCTCATGGCACAGTGTGGACAGATATGATACAACGGTCGCAGACGTGTGAGGTTGGACGATTGGGACGGCAAGAAAGCTGACGAGCAACACAGTAGACTGACATGGACATTGAGTCTTGATCGCATCGATAATATAAAACTCACGAACATGGTGTATACATTCTATTCACCATTGAGCCTCCCGTGAAGAACCTTGTTATGAGCATCAGGGTATCCAAACATAATAAGATTCATGACTCGAGAGGGACGCTTGAGACAAATATTCCAATACGCACTCAAGCGCTGACCGCGCATTGGATTATTTGTATAACGACTTATCTCTGTCATGCCGGGGGGCTGGTTGTCCACATGATTTAAGAAAGTTGACGATGCATAGCAACTCAATAAGGAAACCGGATACACTCACTATTGGCATGAGCTCACAGGGCCGTTCCATACATCGAGCTGAAATGAACGAACTTGATAATCAGAAGCAATAAATTGACGTTTCGCACTTAGACTTACTAACGATATGTACGGAATGCTCATGCTCCTTGTTGCGGCTACCTGAAAAAGACAATCAACCCCCTAACGGGGACTGATTCACTCATCAGTGGATCTATGAGGCTGAACATACTCTCAACCTGGTCCAAAGTAAATGAACGATAGAGATGTGCGAAAATCGATAGATTCCATCGCAAGTTGTTCTGGTGTTGCGGGAAATGCTAACTAGTCTTTGCTCACCTGCATGACAACATCTTCCGGAAGAGAGCGTCTGTTTAGAAATAGGTCAAACATGTCCCTTGTCAATATCATGATATGGAAATCACACGAGGTAGGAAAGGTAGCAAGATGTCAGCGCATTTACTGGTGAAGTGAGAGAACATGCATACTTCGGAGGCGTACAAACCAGTACTCTCTTTCTAGTGCATGCCGCCCTGCCAAGAGAGACACAATGAAAGAAGCTCCAATCAGATATAGAGCTTTGTCGCCTATCAATCTGAAAATGACAATCAGGGAGACCAAGTATTCAAAGCCACAGCATTAGACTCTCCGTCAAGCTCTGGAGTTATAGTCTGTACTACTCAGTTCCAGGTTGACACCGTTCGCTACGTAGAGGTGCTTGAAGCGGCGGTATCGTGAGGTCGTAGAAGCCGTCAACGTCTGCTGTTCTGTTGGCTGAGAGCCCAACACTAAGCCGTGCTCGCGATGAGGTTTCTCGTTTCCCTAACGGACACTTGACACAGTCGCGGGAGAACATATCGAAGAGACGTGTATAAATGAAATGCGGCCCTATTGACGATGAGCCTCAACCAGGAGATGAACATATGGATGTATCGTCCAGGCGATCCGATCCGGGCACAGAAACAGCTGGTTGCGCTCAGGCGAGAAGGTGGTAGAATCACAGTCGCAGTGCCCACTGTCAACAAAAGATCACATTCCCAGGATGGACCATTCAAACTTCATGGAAAACTACCTCAGGGTTTTGCGTCCATAAGGCCTGCCCCCTCAGTCTACCTCCTGGACTGACCCGGACATAGACTAGTCTCCTGCAGCACACTAATAACAGGAAGATGACTAAGTAGTCTCGTTCCTTCTGTATTAAGTTCGGTCAGTCTAAGTAATAAGCGGTCAGATGGGGTTAAATTCGATGACCTACGGATTGCCCAAATGAGTGTGGGCTACGAAACGATAGGGCCGATCGCACTTTTTGCGCATCAAGAAGCGCACCTCCCAATATATTTTTCGGACTTAACCTTACTATGGTTTGCAATCATGATATCAGTTGCTGAATTCAGGTTGATCGCCGCCGAGTATAGCTCGATAGCCCTGTCGTAGTCGCGCGCAGCTAGGGTAGTATCTGCACTCGCAGCAAAGTTAGCACCCCCATTTGCAACATACGGTGTCCTGTAATCTTACTTGAAAGCTGAGTGAAATGCGGGTGAGCATTGTAGTCAGAGCAATATTCAACACTTACCAATACACTAATGAAGGCAGCTAGTCTTTGTAACTTCATCACTCATATCCATCATGTATTGGTGCGATTCGATGGCTTCTTCAAGGCAACCTGCGCAAAAGGAGTACACGGCAACGTTTCTGATTTGCTATTTGCCACAAATAATTGAGGTCCCATCCGAAGAGCTGGATAAATGATGGAGTTAAGCCCGACAAGTAATTTTGGTTCCATCGTTATCAACGTACCACGACAAAGCCCTGATATTTGAAAATAGCCCATTTAGTTAGATGAAGAGACGATGGTGTTGAAAGCGGCAGTGAAGTGGCCGTTATCTTTATTGTGACGTACACCATCCATGGAGAAAGATCAGCGATACGGGACAAGCGGAAGCTAGCTATTAGACGCAGTGGATCGCCTCGACATCGATGATGATAGATCTAGTCAGCATGATGATTCGCATTAGATAGCGCAATAGCCTGCAAACCAAAATGAATCAGGGATCATGATAGAAACAATTAGTCATGGGGACATTGCGCTATCAGAATAAAGGGTAGAAACATTCCTTGGAGTCACGGAGAGCATCCTCGGGTACTGCCCGCTCTGAGACCTTGTGATCACTTCCTCCGCGAGGAATGCGCTTGCCATCTTGACCCATCCACAGAGAAGGTGACACAGTACAGGGATCAGAGTGCTTATATATGGCAATAGTCGTCGATTGGATAGCCGCCACACGCGGACATGATGTCATATGATGCGGAGGACAAGTGGGTGCCAGAAGGGTAACATAGACATCATCAGAATGGTTTGTCCATGGATCAATGACCTGCATCCAGGTTGATGAATCCCACACCCGTAAGTTGGGGTCAGACGTAGATCTCGCTGAGAGAAGCTGTGTGCCATCGAGCTTCCACGCAAGTGAGACGTCGCCTGCCCGACTAATAATGGCAGTATCATGATGAACCTCGAAGTTTGCGATGTAGTCCCGCAAATAATTTCTTGTTGGGATGACAAAAAGTTCGCCAGGCGGCGAGTACCGGACGCAGTTGATCGGTGTTCCACAATCGGTTGGACTTCCTTGCACGGTGCAGCACCTGCCACGTTTATGTGCTCCATAGTTTCGTCGTTTTTTCCGTTGACCCAGTCGCTAGGACTGAGCTACCTGGTGAAAAGTTCATCGAGTCGATATGATGAGCTGTGAGAGAGTTCTGCGAGCATCCCCGTCCCAGGCAATGAGCTCTTCGTTGAGATTGCTGTTACTATAGGGGTTGAGGATCTCTTTCTCCAAGCTGCAGAGGCGTGCGTATTGGGCGCTGCTTCTTTGTGACAGCCTTGACCAGGACCTGTTTCGTTTCTCGTAACGCTCTCGTTAGACGATCAACCCAACTTGCCATTGAGACATGCTGTCAGCTCTCCAACCGCTATTTCTGATTTTTAAAGGCTGTAGTTAGATGATGCTACCGTCTTGCTCTGATGGTTTATCATTTATGTAACTTCCTGTGTCTCCAGATGAGTGGCACTGAAATAGCAGCTGGGGTCCAACTTGCGCCGCATGCAACGGTCGCACCTTCTAAGATCAAAACTTAGTTATTACTCCATGGCTCACTGGCAAGCGCTCACCGTCAAGCTCTTAGCTCTGTACTTCACTTCTGAAGTTCTGAGAGACTGAGTCTGAAGTTCTGAAGCGCGATAACTTTCGGGTCATGCATTGAGCATGAATCACATGATGTCTTGCCTATCGAGTCTAAATTCAAAAGCAGTGTGACCTCGGAAACTTTATCTGATTGGCCTGTGCCATACAACCTATCCGACCAGTCAGCATCTGAGGAACACCGTCCCGTATGCACGTCATTCAAGATTCTTGCTTCTTGCATCCGCTCGTATATTATTAAATATCAGTAGTTCCAAGATATCATCACCGTTTCGTCCAAGTAGCCAGATAAAAACGTTCTAGTACTGTATGTAAACAAACCGATGACCACCACATCAATATCAATTACGTCCAAGTCCAAGAAAGCAGTCCCCCTTCCCAAGAAGCAACATGACATACTCGCATGCCCAAGACCGGTGACCATAAATCCCAAAACGAAATAGGGGGCAGGTATCTCGACAACCACACCCACATGAAACATGGCGTAGGCGTCTTTTTCGATAACGACATTAGCGGTGAATCAGCATCAAACTTCTGGCTGGAATCAAAGATATCCCTGAATACGTCAGCCTGCGCGACCAAGGAGACTGCGGAGCACAGATTTGAACCCTGACGACGTTCCCGCAGCCCGCGGTGATTTCGAAGATGGAGGAGTTGGAAAGTGTGGCGCGGTGGGAGAACCAGGTGCCGTCTGTGGGCGTGGGCGTGGGCGCGGGCGCTTCAGGCGTGCTGTGGACCTCGAGGTAGGGACGTGGACGGGGACAGCCAGGAAAGAGGGTCGTACAGAGGGTTCGTGAAGTGTCGGAGAGGTTTCTGTAGTGTGTGGTAGAGGAGTAGTTGGTGAGGCAGCGGTGACCGTGACCATAGGGACTGTCCACATAGGATGTGCATTGGGATCTAATGCTTGATCACGGTGTTTAAGAAAGCCCGGCGCATTTCTGGCATCAAGAGCAGCAGGTACAGAGACCGATGTCGAATATGAGGTGAAAGAGGCATAGGAGGAGACAGTGATGAAAGAAGAAGAAGAAGAGTCTTGTAGTTCTTGATCATGTGAGGCACTAGGGGGGTCGACGAAAGTTTTGGATGCATCAATCAAGTTCTCCTGCTGGGTCGCAGACTCGTCGATATCGGCGTCACTGCCCGACTGCGCTACGATGCTCTTCTTCAGATTTGACGGGACTTTGGGGTAGGAATATTCTACGCCGCGAGAAAGGGTCTGGAGACTCGGAGAAACGACAGAAGTAGCGCTGGTTCCCCGCGACGCCATTGTCGTGCTGCTGCCATCAGTCAAGCTTGAAGTAGAGTTTCCCGCACTTGAGGATACACTGGAAGAAGATGTGATAGGGGGGGGAGGCATCAGGGTGATAGTAGTTGCGCTACCTGTAAGGCTACTCAATGCACTATCTGATCCGAACCGGGACTCGGACGTCCTTTTTCGAGTGTCATTCCTCACGGGAGACTTCAAGTCAAGGCTTGCAGGAATGCCTGAAGCCGACTTGGGTCGTCTTTGAAAGGAGGGGGAGGGAATGAACTGGAACGTTAATCGACGACCCCGGCGTTTGTTCTCCTTCTCGTTATCTCCTATCTCTGGAGTCTGTGGAGCGTTCTCCTGCAGCGTCACATCCGATGTGGAAGCCTTTGGCAAGTTTTGTTTTGAGCTACCCCTGAAGAACGGCGAAGGAGGGCGAGGAATCCAGGGCAATGATGGGGTAGTTAATCGCGCAGGTGGTGCCTGAACGGATTGTGTTCGAGATTTGGTAAGCTTCTTGCGAGATCTAACTTGTACCTCAGTGGAAGAAGTGCCTGTCGCCTTCGAGTCTATATTCGATGAAGAAGCGGCCCGCTCGGTGGATGTGTCACCGGAGACAAGTTTTTCATGGTCATGGGATATGTCGGAAAACCCGCTGCCAAGCACGGGAATAGACGAAACTTCGTTGGCTTCGAGAATCCTGACCACTCGAGTGCGTTCTTGTGGTGCAATAGGTTCTGCCGCGGCGTCCGCCATTGGTGGTGGTTCGCGGGAAGGCACATCGGTTTTCTTCCTTCGCGAGCTCGCCCTTCTGAGCACCCCATCATCCTCCGTGACAGAAATCTGTCTCTGACGAGGGCTATGCCCGTCATCCATATCGAAAAACATGGTATCTCCACTCGTTCCGCTGATCTGCGAAAGGCGATTGACAGCATCCACGAGACTGATACGTGAATGACGCTGAGTTGGGTTGGGGTAAGACTTCCTCCGGCGTGGTGTTACGCCGGGATCAACTACAGTGATGACGGCACTTTCGGCCTCGTTCTCAGATAACGAGAAGAACGTGCTGATCGAACTTTTTTCGGATAATGCGGGTTCCCGAGAACCCTGGGAGGGAGATAATTGGAAGTCCCGTGAGCGCGGAAGCGTAGGAGACGAGGCACGCCTGGAAGACCTGTTCCCGGATGGGGGAACGGAAGGAGAAGCACCGGGAGCCTCAGAGTCGGAGATTATGATATGGGGTAGAGAATTTACATCTTCCTTGCCAATGCCCTCGGTGACCGGCGAGCCAAATGTGGCCGAAGAGTTTGTCATCGTGCTAACGCATTTTCTTCTGCGGTATTCCCGGGCGCTCAGAGGCATCACCACTGGTTTTGATGACATCGATTGCCTAGAAAAGCGGGGCGTAGACGCAGGACCAAATGGAGAAGATGACATCCAGTTATCATTCGGATTTCGGGACACTGAAGGTTTTGGGGAGGTGGATGGCCGAGAAGTACTCGGTGAGTATGTTTGTGGGATATGGGCTGGCCGGGGGGTTGTTAATGGCAAAGAGGATGAGCGACTGTGGTTGAACGGTGCTTGGGTAGGAAGTGGAACAACTGGTTCATCCTTGGCCTGCCGTCGGAACAGACCAAAGGTGGGAATAGCACTAGTGCTCTTGACTGGTGCCGTTGTGCGCGCATGCGAGGAAAACGAGGATGAGCTAGCAGAAATGGAACTAGCATGAGAAATGACAGATGAGGGCGACGAGCGCGAATATGGGCGAGCGTCTACACTGAGTGTGGGGATAGCTCCAGCGCTCTTTGACGGTCCTGCCAAAGGTCCGGGTGCGCGGTGGGCATGCGAAGACGTGGTCGCCGAAATAGAACCGGTGTGAGAAATGACAGATGACGGTTGCGAGCGCGAATACGGGCCAACGTCTAGGCTAAAAGCACTTGGGCATTGGGACTGGCTAGACTCTAAGGACACGATGGATGGATTACTAGAAAATGCTGGCCCTGCGAGGGGGGAAGAGCGCAGTGGACGAGAAGCATGGACAGATGAGGAATATGCTACGAGTGCAGGAGTACTTGATGGTTGTCCTCCACGTTCGCGCAATGCAGGGCGAGGTGCCACCGCCACGACCTTGTAATGGAGAAGGTAAGTAAGGTACGACGAGGGGACTGAGCCGGGGACAGACTTACCTGCGCGCAGGGTTGGGACATGGCAACTTGGGAAAAGTCGGGAGGGGGAAACAGGTGTACATATAGGAAAAAGTTGTGACGCGGGTAGGATCAGACCGAGACTCGCCGCCTCGAGGCAATTTGAGGCACATGATGGTAATAGCGATAGAACCAAATATTTATCCGAGAATAATTAATACAAATCACAAGTCGCAATAATAATAGACAAGGCGCACAGCCTGGGGCACCGGTATCTCAACAGTACTTGATTATCGTCGCAATCGTCGACTCATTAATAGTCCCTGTCCAAGACCAGGCCACACATCATCAGTACTTCTTCCACACAGCACGGATCTCTGGTCAGCAGGGAGATTTTTAGACACGTAAGTATGAGACATGATGCACTATCAATGATGCGTGGGCTTCTTCCCGTCCACAAACATATTCCGTGTGGCACTTGGCAGTGTCGCTGTCATTCCATCCAGTACGCGAGTTATCTGCACCTGACACCCAAGCCGACTTGTGTCAGTTAAACCAAACGCCATGTCAAGCATGTCATTTTCATCGTCAGATGGCTCGGGGACCAAATCATAATGCTCGGGCGAGAGAACAACATGACATGTCGAACAAGCAACTGACCCTTCACATGCGCCTAATGATTCAACCAAATCAATCCAGCGGACCGAATCAAGTACTGCTCGTGACACACCTTCTAGGTCAATGTCATGCTCGTGCGCAAGTGACAGGACGTCATCACCCTCGTTTGCTTCTATGGTCTTTAAAAGATTACCCTTCGAATCTTTGAAATGCAATTTAATTCTGAACCAGGGTCAAGGTCAGCTCGAGGCGCTTGTGCAATATGCCGCGTACCCCGTGCCAGGATCTGGTCTGGTCACATTCCCATGATGCTGTACTTGACGAATTGTGGTTGGTTTAATATGCTGATATCAGAGGGTGAGATACGCACTCTGCGAGCCGTGTAACCTTCTCCGCAAGCTGGGGCTCCATGATTTTGGGCTACTTGACCGCGTCCAGTAGTCCAGTGGGTGTACTGGACGGTCACGAACGACAGCAGACATCCGCAGAGAACGGAGTATGCGGAAGGATGACATTAATGATGAATGGGAGGCGTGAACAGAATAAATATTACAAATGACAGCGAGCAGCAATATTTGCAGCGAATGCTAGCAGTGGATTACATAAGCTGACTTATTCGGTAGGTGTGTCGGCCTCGAACCGGCTGCCTTGACGTTTCAGCGTTCGTGCTTGGTTCGTGCTCCTCCATATACAATGCATGACATCTGTCATTTGGTAGGTCAATGCTGAAGAGTATACATATGAATCTCATGCAATGGGTCATACCACAGGATACTGACTGGTTTGTCAATGCACTCGCCACCTTTCTCATTGTTGGCCTTTTGGTATCATATGCCCCGCAGGTAATGTGTGCAGCACGCAGAACAGTAAACATCTAACTCTTGTGGAATAGCATTTGCGAATAATTCAGATGGGCTCGTCTGAGGGGTTTAGCCCGTGGTTCTTGTTGCTTGGTAGCACGTCTTCTGCCGCTGGAATGCTTAACATGTGAGCCACCCGTCGGTATTGACGCATGTTCTTTCTGATGAATTGTCTAATAGGATTGCACTATCCTGGCCTACTATAAAGTGTTGCAATGAGCTGGTGCGTTCCGCGGTAATATCGCCTGATCGACGCCACTGAGAATCTATGACATTAGAGCGTGGGGAGATGCCTAGAAATTACTGCTGGAGTAACACAAGTGACCTTGCAGTGGGCTTTATTCATGATTATGTATGTTTATTTCGAACCTCCCGTCTGGCAATTTAACTCATTTCAAATGCAGCCTCGTTTTGTACATGATTTACTATCCTGCCCGGTTGAAACACGTTGATATCAACATCCCTGCGCACGACACTCTTCCTCCTCAGCATGTCAAGACAAAGCTTTGGAGTGACGAGTGGCGTCTTTCTGTGAACCTCTCATGGGTTATCGCCATCCATCTGTTTGAGTGACTTATTGAACTTTCTGGTTCTTGTATTCTGATACGTGTGTTTTAAAGTGCCTTTATCACCTTTGTCACATTCTTCCTCCTGTTCACGCGGGTCCCAGAGCCTAGCGGAGAGGTTCCGCGTCAAATATCCATGTGGGCGACCTTCCTGGGCGTCAGTTCTGCATTGCTCGCAGCAATTCAATATGCGCCACAACTGTTGCGGACTTATCGTTTGAAGCTCGTCGGTGCGCTCAGTATCCCCATGATGATACTGCAGAGTCCTGGGGCAGCTATAATGTCCATATCCATCGCGCTCCGGTAAGCAACTAGATTTGGCGAATTCAACATTTTACTCATATTTACGCAAGCCCTGGCACAAACTGGACAAGTGCGTTTGTGTTTCTTTTTCTTATTGTCGTATTAATAATACATCAAAGGTTGGGCGATGTACGCTGTATCCGGTATCATGCAAGCCGCCTTACTGGCTATGTGCATCGTTTGGAAGTTCCGCCAGCGTAGGCTCAAGATTGATGACTTTGGTTGCTCACTGGATAGTGGCTCGTCCACTCCATTGACGGACGACATTGACACTGTTGTTGGCGAAGTTTCAGATCCCCAAGTTGGCGACGGTTCTTTCGACAGCGATGCGGAGGACGCACGTGAAGACGCGCCACTTCTTGCAAAACCAGGGCATTCGGGGAGGAAGTCCAGGTTCTTCGGCTGGCTGAGCATATAAGTAGATATCTGGTTTCGAGGCTTTCTTTTCTTTCTCGTCAATACTTAGAACATGGGCTTTGGACAGCTACAGTAGACTTATTGGACTTATATGCACATACTCCCATTAATGACATGCAGTTTCACTTTAGTCTAAAATAGGCAACTCTGCTTTCGCGCAGTTTCGCGCCTCTCATCCACCGTGACGATGGCCAGCCTAATCGCGATTCTTGACTTGAAGGGGAAGCCTCTAATACAGCGCTCGTACAAGGACGATGTGCCGTCGTCGTACATTGAGCGCTTCTTACCACTTGTATTAGACATCGAAGAAGAGGGACAGCAAGTAACGCCATGCTTCTCAAGTCAAGGCATCAACTACATGCACATCCGACACTCCAATCTCTACAGTGCGTCTCGACGTGTCTTGTGGTGGAACTGCCTCCCTGATGCTTCATAACGCAGTTCTGGCTCTATCGAAGCGCAACTCAAATGCCGCTGAGATCATCATATTCCTCCATCGACTGACGCAAGTCTTGATTGAATACTTCAAGGAGCTCGAGGAAGAGTCTATCAGAGATAACTTTGTTATTATATATGAACTGATGGACGAGATGATGGACTTTGGGTTCCCGCAGACCACAGAGAGTAAGATATTGCAGGAGTGTGTATGAGGCTTGCTCGTTTGTGTTGGGTGCTAATGCTGTGTTAGGTACATCACCCAGGAGTCGCACAAGCTGGAGATCCAAGTAAGGCCTCCGATGGCTGTCACAAATGCTGTTTCATGGAGAACAGAGGGTATAAGGTATAGGAAGAATGAAGTGTTCCTGGACGTTGTTGAGAGCGTGAACCTCTTGGTGAGTACTTCTCACCGTGCGACGAGGCTTGACACCAACCGCATACATAGGTCAATTCGAACGGCAATGTCGTCCGGTCTGAAATATTAGGAGCCGTCAAGATGAAGTGTTACCTGTCTGGTATGCCTGAACTGCGACTCGGGCTGAACGACAAGGTTATGTTTGAAAGCACTGGTAGAAGTATGTGATGATGGTCTTATTGCGCTAGTCTGCTTGTCTCTGACGTGTTGTTTGATGATAGCTGCTCGGGGCAAAGCTATCGAAATGGAGGACGTCAAGTTCCACCAGTGCGTTCGGCTCTCCAGGTTCGAAAATGACCGCACAATATCGTTCATACCTCCCGACGGCGAGTTCGAACTCATGTCTTACCGACTTTCGACCCCCGTCAAACCTCTTATTTGGGTAGAAGCCTCCGTGGAGAGCCACAAAGGGAGCCGCGTGGAATATATGGTAAAATGCAAAGCGCAATTCAAGCGCAGAAGCTCTGCGAATAATGTTGAGATCTATGTTCCTGTCCCGGATGATGCAGATAGCCCGAAATTCAGAGTTTGTCACTCAGATCATTCATATAGTTTCAAGCTGACGCGGTGTGTTATATAGGCATCTACAGGCAGTGTGCAGTATGCTCCTGATAAATCTGCATTCGTCTGGAAGATCAAGCAGCTCGGAGGTGGCCGGGAATATCTCATGCGCGCTCATTTTGGTCTTCCGAGTGTTAAAAGCGGTGAGTATGTCTGACCTTGTGCATTCGCTTTACTGATGTAAATACGGCAGAACAAGACATGGAGAAGCGTGCGCCCATCAGCGTGAAGTTTGAGATTCCCTATTTTACAGTGTCCGGTATCCAAGTTCGTTATCTGAAGATTGTAGAAAAGAGCGGATATCAAGCTCTGCCTTGGGTCAGGTATATAACCCAGAATGGTGATGATTACAGGTGAGGAGCATCCATTTGGCTCCAATGTGTGATGTTGATTTCAATCATCCCAGCCTTCGAACTGCTCTTGAGAAAGGGAGCACGCCTATTGTACAACAGATGTGAACGCATTCTATTATATTCGGGAAAATACCAGTACTCCACCGATGCTTCAATTGGGACATTGTTTTAGAAATCATCAGATCGGATCGCTTTTTTCTGAGTCGTCTCTGAACGTACGATCTTCATCGATTGAGTTGTCCTATAATGCTAGACGCACGAATCATAGGGTGGAGCGATGAATGCACAACGGCATCCAAAATTGGCCAGACATCGATGCGTCAACGCTGTGCGCGAAGCTTGGTCATTATGGTATCATGTTTCCGCTGTATTCTATTGTGGCACATATGATGCTGGGAATGGTCTACCGTGAATTGCTTTTGCAGGCTTTTTGTACGGACAACGTCGCTAAAGAATAAGTTTACATAGCGAGTAAGTATCAGAACATCGTGGGGCAAGACTAACGACGATTTGGGCATGATACATCAACGGGGTCACGGATAGGAAAAGGAAATCATTGTGGGGTGTTGGAACAACGAAAATGAGCTCGTGAGTTGAGCGCCATACTTGTGTCAAGCCAGCTTGACACCTCGAGTTACGGGAGTAAGAAAAGAACAAACACTTTGTTAGATCCACTCGAGTACCGCGCTGTAACGCGATATTTCAGCAAATGAAATTAACCGTGATTCAAACCACAAACCTTGACATCACATGGCACGACATGAGAAAGATGAAGTATTACGCGTTCACATAATCTTCGGTGTCTGACATCGTGAGGGGGCTAGTTTCACCCAGTTGTCGGCGCAGAATATGCGATTGACCGCCAAAAGCTTTGCAAATGTCATCCTCCAGCCGACAAGTGATCAGGAATCGGAGGCTTTTGGGAAGCTCTGCGCCTTTGTCAACAAGGACACTCAGTACTTCCTTCCTTGCTGCTTCATTCCCTCCCATCTCCAGACCGTCAATGATCACGAGGAGTGGTCCGTTCCAAATGACATCTCTAGAAGGAGCGAGAATAAATTCCTCAAACTGCGTCTTCACCACCCGTGTTTTCCGCAAACTCGTGTCATTTCCCACGGCCCTCCAGAGATTATTCTTGAACTGAGCATTACGGTCTGCCAGATCGCGGGCGATTGTCGAGAACATGTTTGTGTAATTCTTGGTATCGTTTGGCCTGGGACCTCGAAAGCAATATGAAGAACCAAGCCGTGACGCGAACTGAAATCGTTCTCCAACAAGTAATGCGACAGCGCTGCACGACTCTTCAGGCCCAGACAAGACGCATATCCTCTCTGATTCCTTGCTGTCCCCAAGGACCCAGCTCTGTACGGATGTTATGATATCAGCCGGAGGCGCTCCGCAGTCGGGCGGTAGATGAACGGCACATAATGCTGCACATCTAGCATCCGCAGCGTAAGCCATGTCACGAAAATCTGCCTTTGCACCTAATTGAAACGGCAGAATATATCACATATGCGGCGGGAGGGGAATTGGATGACTCACCAAGATCCTGAACTTCTTCTAACATTTTGAGCACAGTGACCTGCGTGGAGACAGCCATATAGTTCTGAAAACTGCTTTGCAAGTCTAGGAATGCCTTTTCGAATGCTTTGATCTGAGCTTCAACGTTCATGATCGAATTCTTAATCGCTTGCGCAACTTTGTGAATGGCATCCGGCGTCAGTCAGAATTCTGTTACACCTGGAAGACTCACAGTTGCCTCGCGTGTCCACATAATCACGAATGAAGAACGCGCACTCGATTGTTTGCTGCACGATTGCATCGAGGACGTTTTTTTGTTTGTGCATATACGGGAGCGCCTCGACGGTCATAACGAGATCGTAAGTGTTTTCCATAGTACGCATCAGTTGGATCACACCGGCGTCACAGGCAATACCCTGACTTATGACCTAATGGCGAAGTTTATATCACTATCACATAAGCATGAAAACGGTGCGCCCAAACCTCGTATCCTGTTGCCAGTATTGCATATGCAATCCCTGCGTAGGGGTGAAGCTAAAATAAAAACTGGGTTAAGCTAATATTTTTAGGTGTGTGTTGCGAGCGAGGCGCCATACCTTAGCCAGTCTTTCAGCCACCAAAAAAAAGATACCGATCTTTATCAGAAGGGGGGAAAGGTGTTCATCACCACTAGTGCCCTTTCTAGCTCGAGCAATTGCATCTTCAATGATTCTTTTACCTTCACCATAGTGTTTTGCTTGATTTCGTTGGTCAGTTAAATCCGCAGTATGGTAGACAGCGGCAGAAAGCTCCTGCGCGAAAGAACCTAAGGTCCTTGTAAATGTCATAGCGCCAGATTGTGTTGCTCTGAAAGACAAAGTGGGGATTCCATCTACGCGCACGGATGCTGCAGATGATAGAAACGGACGTCTGATCACTGTTGATGCGTTCATTAATGTACTCATCGTCGGAAAAATAACACTGACAGCTGTCTTGCTGGAGAATCTCATCGACGTCAAAGACGGCAATACCGATAGGAATTGGTTCGCTATCTTTTCCGTCGTAGCCGAGAACACGAAACACGAGTCGTGACGTTCGGGAAACGTTCCTGGGATGCTTTAACTATCGCACAAACATACAACATGGGAGGACTTACAACGTGAATGTTGTATCCCACATTAAGCATTTTTTCTCCTGTTGTCCTTGAGACATGATTTTCTGAGACTCTCCGGTATCCGCCACGTGTATTTCGAGGAAGAATCGATCATCCCAAGACAGCTTTCCGAATTTAGGAACACGGTCGATATCCAGGATAACGGCTATTAAAGCACTGTTAGCAACAGTGGAAAACGTTGTTGTCAACCGGGATGTACCGGATATGTCCAATGCATTGATCTGATTTATGCCCGGCACCTCGTTTTGTTCAATCATTGGATCGCTCGCTTCTTCATCGTTACCAGCGGTAGACGCACCCGAAGTCTGAGAGACCTTGAATTCTGCTTGAATTTTTGCGCCCTCAGACTCAAGAGTCTTGCGAACAACTGCGGAAGTCGTGAGCGGGCTACACAGGTGCTCATAGATAACCTACCACCGTTCGGTGCAGCAAGCCATTCCTTCACGGAACCTTCCGCCACAGCTATCGGCTTGTTTTTGTGGAGCCAACGTGTTGCAAATATTTCCAGTGAAGCATGCGAGACGTGTTCGAATGGACTACTGTTGACACACACATCAGACTGGTGCATATACGCAGTACCAACCGACCTACAAATCATATCCTTCTGTCCATCTGGCGTGTCCTTGATTACTGGGCTTAGAGGGACTTTCCCGTATAGTGTCGTTTAAAGCCACTCGAACACGGAATGTGTTATGATGGACAGAGGGCAAATTTTGCAAGTCGATGTCTGCAGGAATGACTTTAGATGTAGCGCCCAAAAATATGCTCGACTACTCACAAGAGATAGATAGCTTGTTAATGGTCGAAGATTCACGTTGGGCAATCCTAAAGTGAATCTCGATTTCTTGGCCTTGTGACCTATACAAGACGAGCTTCTGCTTGATGGCTAAATATGCGTTATTTATGCTGAAGGGGGAGTATTAAACCTCACTCACGACCTGAGCGTCTCAAAAGCCTTCCAACAGTGTCCTCAAGGCTACCAATCCGCGAGGAATGTCGGATATCACAGGCTTCGACGGTGAATGTGACTTTGGATGACTCATCAACTTTGCTTAATGAGCACGCTGTTAATTCTCACAAAAATCCCAGTTATTGATAACTCACAAGCGATGCGTCTCGTGCCACTTGTAAGATCGTAGTGCCCAGCCTGTTGTCTTCAACTGGTTGCAAACACTGATGCGCACGCAAAAAAAGTCGTCCAATGACATCATCCCGACTTTCGGGAGATTTCCATGCAGAGAGATATCTGCACAATGGTGAGCCCTTCCGACCATGATATACCTACTGCAGGGAGATGCAAACCAGATATCACTATCTCGGAAACATTCGAGTACGATTGGCTAATCGGCATCGATCAGTTATTCAATACCACAGTTTATAGCATAAAGATGAAACTTGCCGATCAACACGCGAAGAGTTACGCTCGAGAATTTTGGAGCCACTGGGAATGCGTGAACAAGCCGAATGTGATTATCAGTAACAAATTGTAACGTACGGTGAATTGGCATCATCATAGCTTTTCAGCATTTCTTAACAGTGCGATCGTGACCTGCCTTCAGTTTTAATCAGCCAGTACATTCGGCGGCGAAATACCATACCGTGAGTATAAGGCAATTGCTAACAGAAAGAGTCAGAGCTGAATGAGTGGTGCGTGTTGCAGGACGCTAGAGTTCAAATCAGTGCTGATATATATACCAGTGTCTTACACATCACTGCGAATACAGTAGCAGTAGCCCAATAAATTGGTGTACGTCATGAAAGGATGAATTCACGACCTTGACTCTAGACGCATGCAGGGCTTGCAGAAGCATTACCTCCTAGGTAGCCAGGTTATCTGAGATGTCGATTCGGCGCTCAATGAGTTGAGGTCGCATAATGACAACTTGATCAAGAGCCAAATACAGACAAAAACGAGGATGAAGGCCTGGAAACATGAGAGCGTTATACAATATTAAGTTAAGCGCCAGGTGTGGATTGTGATTATGACAGTTGCCCTTGCCCAGGGTTTAGTTCTGAGAAAACGTTTGATGCTTCTAAGTAGCGCCTGGAAGTTGCATCTCGGAACCAGCCGTTAAAAATTACCTGTTACAGGTTCTACGGCTCGTTCCGATTTCCTCAAGTCCTCACCCACCTTTAATTAGGCCTATCAATCAGAACAAGGTCCGGGGCAAAGGACCCTCGCAGCATCTGTTCCCCTCCGTGATGATAGGTTCTTCCTTCTTCGGCACGCCGCTTCGTAAACTGACGCCTTCCGATTGCACCCCCACATCAAGGGACGGTTGTGAATCTCCGCACTTCACGCGGAAAACTGTACGCGCAAGTTGGAGTTGTTCTTTATCTTCAAGTAAGGCATAATGAAAAGCCCAAACGACTCACAAGGTTGCCTCGCGGATAATCGATAAGGTACAAACTGACATGATTTGTCATTTGCTTCTTTGTATGCCCGAGCAATCAAGTCGTGCATGCCAGCGTCAAAGCGGTTTCATTACTGTATAAAATCCATGAGTTGTGACTTCCGAGCACTTGTGGTACAGGATGCACTGCGCTGGCGATACAGCGGCATTTTTGTATGAAGGTGTACTGTGAGACTCGTGAGTGCACTGCAGACAACGATCAATGTGTCATACGAAGCTCTGACTGTTGTACCCGGGCGAAATACGCTATCCCGGATTGCGTGTTAGTATGTATAGTGCCATTATCGATCATAACACGTTGTGTTGAAATTGTACCTTGCAATGGCATAACCTGATGAAGAAGATACGACACACAACGAGCAGATTTCGGACACCGACAATTGAATACCCCCCTAAACACAATCTGATGGTTCTCTTTGCGAGTGAGTTCTCCATTTTGCGCTGATGTCCGATAGCTCACAATCTTGAGGCGCCCTGTTTCACAAAGTTAGAGTGGTTCACAATCTCATAAGCGCGAAATAGCATTACATAGATTGTTGCCGAGCTCCACCCTTCATGCAATGAGTGGCGTGAATCTATCACATGTCTCAACACCTGTGCTTCCTCACCTTCTTCTAGACGCCCTGCAAGGCTCAATCAGGAGCGCCTAAGTGTTACATCTTGCCACGTGGAAGAAGAAGTTGATTGTGCCTGTGAAATGTTGTCGGTTTCTTCTGGCCACAGGCCCCACCCTGACCAGCTGGAATATAGAGAATCTACCGGATACCCCGGAAATTCGCTCCTCACCAAGTTGCGAACATGAGCCTACCAACCAATGATACGCTAGACGGGTTGGCGCTGGCGCTGTTGGTCTGCACTACTGCGTGTTCTATTTTGATAAAGATGATGAAGCTCCATATCTGCATCTCACTGGGGATAGAAGCGTGGGTCTATAACTCCACCGGCCACGCCGTGCAGCCTTTCAGAAGTGAGTCAGTTTCAGAGAACAAGAGGGAATGACATCACCAGTCGACCTGGTTCTCAGCCCTTGAATTGAAAACATCGATTCGAAATATTCAAATGAATTGGTCAAATCGGACCCTGCCAATTGATCGAAACCGTATCCCTCCATGAGGGCAAGCCAGGTTGAGGGTCGGTCACCCAAAGCAGCTGATGCAAGGCCTAAATGGTGGGAAATATGCAAAGCTGATAGACCGGCTCAGCGATAAATTTGATCTTTAGCTCGAGCATCATGCATCATGCACATGATGGCGTGGATCCATGGAGCACGACTCGAGTTTACGAATATTACACCACCAACCGCCGGAAATATCTGGTAGGCCCCAAAAGTTGTTAGGGTTTGGTAAATATTCCCACAGTATAGGTTACATATTTTTCGCACTATATCTGCAAGAGGTTTTGTTTAGAGCTGTGTGAGAGCTGGGAAACAGCACTATAAGCGGCAGTGTGGCTGAAGAAAAAAAATACACTGAAATTAAAATGTATTTTGGCTGATTCGAACTCGAACGCTCGCATTTCGCTATAGTGAACATTTTACGCGCACAAACCATTACACCACAAGCCCTTGTACAAGTTAGCTATTAGTTGATAGTAACTGTAGAGATACGACACTAGCTTCGTCACGTGCAGCACGTGACAAAGTCACGCTTAGTGTCACAGCTTCGAATTACCCTGTCACCTGTGACCACATAAAAAATAGCTTCGGAAATTGTGATTTTGTCAAGGCTTCTTGTCTGATTCATATCTTATTATAAAGTTGAGAAGTAACAGGTAGAATCTAGCTGGACATTGTTGTTTTTTATATGTTTTTCTGTATGTTTTTACCACATGTCACAAATTAGCTTCGGCCCCCAAAAAATTGGTGTGACAGTCACACCAAATAGGTTCGATTCGTTGATGGCTGTGACCTGTGACGAACCTAGTGTCGTATCTCTACAGTATATGACAACCAGCAGGTCATCTTTTCACAAATTCTGCTAAGTCTTTTGTTGTGCCATGTCTGTAGCAACTTAATCTAGTGTACTTTGCACAAAGCAGGTCTTGTGAAATCCAAGTTCTATGTGATGTATTTACCTTCACTATGCTCAGATAGGTGGGGCTTAGTGTATTTTATATTTAGTACAAATGCTGAGTGTGAAAGTTAGCAAGCTACATTGACTTCATTTTGGAGCCTCGGACAGGATATTCACGCAAGCTTTTCATAGCTATACCCCAGCTGTGACCAAAGAATGTTCACGTGAGCTTTTTCATATATATGCCATAGCTATAACCAATCTATTGTCTAGGGTTGGGAAAAAATATTTGATAAGCATCTGATCTATGAGCTTTACAGCATAATTTATGTATTTATGTATTGTGTCTCTAGTCAATCGCGTATCCGCCTGGTTGCCAGGTCTTGTAAATAGTTTTCGCACTATATCTGTTCGGCCCAAAATGGCAATTGGTGGTGTAGTTGATAGTCTATTATGTAACGAGGTACGAGCGGAGGAAAAGAGTTTTGTCTTCGAGCGAACGGTGGCACCGCGCTTCTTGTCTCCGTGCCACGATCACCATTCGTCCTCGGAAACTTCATTGTGCTCGTTTTGATTTTATTACTCCTTTAAACAAAACACCAAACTATATACATCTATCTCTGCTACAATCATAATGGCAGCCAACCTGTCCCACGAAGTCTGCCCTGACTTCACCACGGACGCTTATGCAAACATCTGCGACAACATCCACAGAGCCACCGGGGAAACCCAAGAAAGCATCCATCAGGAAAAAGGGAATTTTTCTTAACAACACTTATGGTGACTTGAAGGTGATTCTAAGTAAGATTCAGTAGAATTCTGCTAAGTACGTCATTGCTTAAAACAAGTAGGGTCTTCCGATGAATATGACTTATTGTTACACTTATCAGCGCTTGACATAAGTACACAGTTAAGCAATGACATCAAGTGTGACTCATCATGTCAGATTCTCTCAAAGACACATTGTAAGCTAAATCAAAATAAGCAGACCAGAAGTAGAGGGATTCAGCTCTAAGCAGCCACATAGGTCCAAGTATATATTTATATTTTGTCTTTAAGGCTCCCAAGGTTACAAAATCAATGGTAAGTGTAGAATTCAGACAATAAAGCGGTGAGAATCATGTGTATTCATACCATGCAAAAAACATCCAAGCATATCTTTCAAGTTAAGACTCCCAAGTTCTACACAGTTGATAGGTAAGTGAACAATTCAAGCACTCACAAAACTGTTCAAGTCGGATGTATACCATTAAGATCGTGATCAAGACAAAGCGGTCAGGAAAAGCATCAATTCAAGTGGTGACTAAGACAAAATGCGAATGAAGACGGCCAAGTGAAGGAAATAAGCGTGATCATAAGAACTGCCAGAGTTGAATCAGGTCAGTAAGTGAATACAGCGCTGGCAAGCAAACCACCGGCAGAATGACAAGAACAAATGTTACTACTCCACGTCAGAGCCATCCGAGTCTTCGGACCCAGACTTGGACTCCGAGATGTCCACGAGCTGGGCGCGTTCATCGAAGTCTTCATCATCCACAGCGTCATCGACGGCTCTATCGTTGCCAGAACGATGGCTCTTCTTGGAAAATTCCTTCGCAGAAGTGATGATGGCTTGGAACTTCTCCTCTCGGAGGCTTTTCACGATCGACTTCACATATGAGCGCGTGGAAGAACCCCAGGTGACGTCATTGAAGCCCGTTTGGCGATTGGAGACTTTGCCGGTTGAGTGATTGAGCGTCTTCGGCAAGGGTATAGATTTGCCCTTGGCAGCGAGAACCATTTCGATGGTTATGGTACGAGTAGCGATAAGCGTCAATGCTCGTTCAACCTAGTAGTAGCAATGAGTGATCAGCGAGGTGTGATTAGAAAATAAAATAAAAATATATTACCGCAGCACATGACAGTGCTAGACCCCCAGCAGGATTCAAGTC